GGCCGCTGGATCAATATCAAGGGTTCGAAACCCTACAGCTACTAACACACACAAAAAAGAAAAACAAAAAAAACACCTGCAGCTACTTATCATTTTTCCACAGAACCTGACTTTACTGATTCGAATACCACAACACATCAATCAAGCAACTCTGTATCTCAAGGCCGTCGACTTTTTTAGGAAAAAAAAAAAAAAAAAAAAAAACGTAAACCCCACTCCCTGACCACGGTTGAGTAGGGCAGGAGGCAACATGCATCCCCTTGATTGTGAGAGGTAGCTATGATTGCGGGGGTCACCTATATAGGCTTAAGGATAGTGGTCGGTAGGCAGTGAAAGGTGACATTGAGAAAATAATATAGGTTACTTCTGAGAGAGAGAAGGGGGGGGGGGGGGGGGGGGGGGGGGGAGGAAGAACATCCCCCAAAAGTGCGCTGAATGGAGAGACGGAAGTTGCAAAACAGCTCTGGGGTCGGGTCCCACTAGCACAGTTTGCTACGCTCGTACAGTGGTGTGTGACGTGGTTTTCGCATTAAAAAAATGGTTTTTCCCAGGCTACCAGCCCGGCCGCCCGGTTCCCGGGTGGCGAGCCCGTGCAAGGACCAGGGAAGGTCCCGTGTTATGCAGAAAAATAAACTGCACAACTTTTTTTTTTTTTTTTTTTCCCCTCTGGCTCAAATCATCGTTTCGTACCCTTCCTTCTGCCTGATAGGTGGTAAAAGCCCCAGGAGATCGAAGGTGGCTTTTGTTCGATGGCTCCGTTCCTGTCTCTTATACACATCTAGATGTGTATAAGAGACAGGGCGTACAGTGACCTCTCCACCACCCTAAGGCTCCATAACAAACTTAAAAACTAGCCTTATACGCCTGCTATAGTATGATCCTCATAACTCCAAGATCATGAGCCTCAGGACCCTAGAGGACCCACTGGTTCAGTAATGGTGTCCGAATCAGAAGCTGGGACTGGTCTAAAAATTCGAATACCAAATTCTCGAATACCATGGCGGCGATGGCGCCCTCCCAATTACCCTGAATCCCTGACATTTAGGGAGGGCGCGGTCCCATCAACCATGGTTCCAAAATTATGCTGGTTGCTTTGGTCTTCAAAAACCTGACTTTAGTCCTTTGGGACATCTGTTAAAATTGGACCGATACAGAGAAGATTAGCATGGCCCCTGCGCAAGGATGACACGCATAAATCGAGAAATGGTCCAAAAAAAAAAAAAAAAAAACCCTGACTTTCTGACCCAAGGTACGGGAAAAAAAAAACCTGGCTGACCTCCTACAACGCGCCCTTCTGGTGCGCCTCCAATCTCACCAGATCATAGAAGGCACATTTCCCAAAACCAAGTTAATGATTCCTATATCTGAGTAGAACTTTGATCAGATCACATGCATGATGGCTGCCCTACATGCAGTGGAGACATATACCCAGCCTTGGCCCAGGACTTCTGCATTTGGGAGGATACCTTCTCTGACACAGTTCTCATTCCACTTCACCTGATCTGAAGAACTTTTGCCGCAGGGTCACATCGAAATTCTTCACCAAACTTAGAATAAATTTACAATACAATAAAAACTTTAATTCAAAAATAAATTCTTTATTTTTCTTTATTTTTATTTTTTTGGCCCTGCGGCGGGGCAAGTGACTCTGGTAGCCTAGGGTTTTTCGATTTTTTTCTGATTTAAAAGCCTCGTTTACTATGAATTAGGGCCTCGCCACACCAATGTCGAAACGGTGAAATTTTCGACAACTGTCAGACCACTTTCGACATTCACCGTTTCTACACAATGGCCGCCTTCGCCACACCGCAGTTTCGTTTCTAGACAAGGGAAGAAAAACAAAAAAAAAGAAGAAGAAAAACAAAAAAAAGAAAAGAAGAAGAAGAAACGGGATCTTGAGGCATAGATGTCGAAATCAGCACGTCCTTCAACACCTCGTCTCCGTGATGTCCAAACTGGACCCGCTGCAGGGGAGCCGTTCTACACCCATGTCGAAACCACCTTTCTGACCATTGTCGAAAAATTTTCGACATTTTTCCTTCTACAGTCTGTGTGGCGAAGAAAAAATGTCGAAAACTCGAGTTTCGACATTGGTGTGGAGAGGCCCTTAAAGAGAGCCAAATCCTTTTCTGGGTTCTCCTGTCAACCACTGGGAGCCAGCGAATTCGTTGCCTCTTTTCCAGGATCGTTTCTTCAGTCAGCCAATAGGCTGCGTCCTCCCAAAGACACCAGGGGCGAGGTCCCACTGGCAACAAGGATTGGATTGAACGCCTGAATCTAGACCTGTTCGCCGAGAGGTGCAGAAATTCGAGATTGAACTGCTTTTCTGCATCGCTCTGCTTACAACACGTCCAGATTCAGGAGCTCAATCCAATCCTCTTTGCTAATGGGACCTCGCCTTGGGACATCAATTTTTTTTATTTGTTTTTTTAAAGAGCAACGGCCTTGAGATATGATCATTGAGCTAACCGGCCCCAAGCAATTCATTAGTAGTTGGTTTACTCGTCAAGTTCCATCATCTGGATTCGAACACAGGTCTGTATTTCAACAGTTCATGGGTGTACCCACTGACAGATAGGCTCTTGGGTAAAAAGACAAAACAATTATGTTTTGCCCATGTTGTGGAGGCCGAGAGCAACGGGGAGACCTTGCAAGTTTATGAACATGCAACCCCCTGCCTCGAAAGTTTATGAACATGCAACCGATGAATTCAGAAAACCATAAAACACACTCACACACACACACACACACACACACACACAACAAAAAAAAACAAACAAAAAAACACACACACACACACAGCCTTTGGGCCTCGCCACACAACTCTCGGAATGTGAAAACGACAAAAATATGGCGGGTGCATCTGGCCATATTCTAGGAGGAAGTTCATTCTCAGTTTGCACATTTCGAGAGTGGTGTGGCGATGCCCAATGGCTTCCCGGGGGTCCGGTCCGGTCAAACCCCACATTCCATAGCAACAGCGTCGAAGCAACAGACTGGGAAGTGCCACGTCAGCGCAGTGGCAGGGACGAGTGTTACATATCCCGACATCATGAGCCCAGTTCAATAACTATGGGCCTCGCTGCACTACTCTTGGGGTCTCGCTGATGTGCAAAACGAGAGTGATCCTCCGCTACAATATGGACAGCTACACCGCCATGATTTTTGTCTTTTGTGCATTTCAAGAGTAGTGCAGCGAGGCCCTATACCGTCTACAGGTACGAAAAACGACAAAACGAAATTTAAAGCATGGGGCAAGTACGTTGAAGTCACAGGTGCACTTCCGAATGGGCAAAAACATCACTCCGTAGGCAGGTTTGTCAAGTCGGAGTGAGTAAAGGCAAGAAAAACAGCT